GGGACAAACGGCAGTGGTTTCTTGCCCCAGGCAGGGTACCCTGTGGGTGCTGGCCGGGGATCTGGGTTTAGGGGATGCTTTGCCACGGCTGTTCACCCTGCCCCACAGCATGCACTGGTGAGCCCAGCCGTGCACCGACCCCAGGCCCCTGACAGCCCCTCTGTTACCAAGCAGCTTGCAAGGACCAGCGTGCACAAGACAGGGGACTGCTGGGACCAGTTTGGTGGTCCGGGAGTGCCAGTGTGTCCACCAGAGTTGCTGGCCCAGTGGGAAGGGGACTGCACTGCTGCTCCTGCGGTGACCTTCATGTGACAGGATGGAGGGACCAGGATGCCAGTGAGGCGCCCTCTCTGCCACAGATTGGGAGTCCCACGTGTGAAGTGGGGTCATGAGCAGCACCAATGTCACATGGGGGTGATGCCGGTGGAGTGGTACCCGAGCCCTACTCCCCACCTGGGGGGCTGTAGGTCCCCCTCCTTGGTGGGAGTGCAGGATCCCCGGTGCTGCCTTCCTGATACTGCCCCATCTCTGGAGAATAGACCCTGCATGGACAGCAGAGATGTGTATGGCTTTCCCAGCCCCTTTGCTGGAGAAAGTGGCCTGGTCCCCCTCACTGTGTTGCCCACGGAGCAGAGCTCATTACCGGCACGGCCACGGTGAACAATGAGGCTCCCGGCACTGACAGCTGTCTGGTGGCTAATGGCCCCCAGGGGCTGCCCACAGCCGGGGCAGGCACATCTGGACGTTCCATGGCCCCATTCCCGATTTCCACCGCTACGGGATGGGACCCATCCTGCCAACAGATGCAGACAGGAGCCAGGGCAGGACGAGGCAGTTCCAGTGCTCAAGTGACTCAGTGGGGACCAGGACCAGTGGGGGAGGGACAACCCCAGTTCTGCACCTCCAACAGGCAATTTCGGATCATGTCTTTCCCCTGTCCCTGGTGAGGCTGGCCCAGAGGGGTGGTGACCTTGCTGTGCTGTTCCCACAGGGTACCTCCAGCACTGCCTGGCACCAGCTGGCTACGACACAGACAAGAAGCAAGGTCTGCCACCACCACCGCCGGACCCAGCCTATGCACCCGGCCACGAGGAGTACAGCGACCCCGAGAGTCCCCAGTCCAGCTTCTCCGCCCGCTACTTCAACGGGGAGGCAGCGGTGACAGACAGCTACTCCATGGATGCCTTCTTCATCACGGACGGGCGGTCGCGCCGGCGCAGCGAGAGCCAGCGCCGAGGCAGCCACCGCCACTCCTGCCCCGAGTGCGGCAAGACCTACGCCACCTCCTCCAACCTCAGCCGGCACAAGCAGACCCACCGCAGCCTGGACAGCAAGATGGCGAGGAAATGCCCCACCTGCGGGAAGGCCTACGTCTCCATGCCCGCCCTGGCCATGCACGTCCTCACCCACAACCTCAAGCACAAGTGCGACGTGTGCGGCAAAGCCTTCAGCCGGCCCTGGCTGCTGCAGGGCCACATGCGATCCCACACCGGGGAGAAGCCCTTCGGCTGCTCCCACTGCGGGAAGGCCTTCGCCGACCGCTCCAACCTGCGCGCCCACATGCAGACCCACTCCGCCTTCAAGCACTACAAGTGCAAGCAGTGCGAGAAGACCTTCGCCCTCAAGTCGTACCTCAACAAGCACTACGAGTCCGCCTGCTTCAAGGGCTCCGAACACAGCTGTGCAATAGGGAACTAGGCCCCCAGCCCCCTGTGGCGCATCCCCATCTTCATCCCTGTATCCAGTCCCCATCCCCATCTCATCCCGTGCCTGTCCCCATTCCCATCCACATCCCACCCCGTCCCCATCCCCATCCCATCCTGGACACGCTGGTGGGCCGCATCAACAGCAACTCCCGGGTGAGCCCTGTGGCCCCCCAACACCCCCATCCCATCCCCATCCCATCCTGGTCCCAGTCCCCACGCCAGCACTCCTGCAGCTGCAGCCAGCCAGTTTGAAGCTGTGCTGAGGCTGGAGGACACATCCCTGCAGACTCACTCCCCAACTGGGAGAAGGATACCCTACTGCTCCCTGGGAAGGGGGTACCCCACAATGGGACCCAGCTCCAAGCCTATGGGTCCCCGAGCTCCCCCTGCAGCCAGGCAGGTTTCTCTGCAGGGGACTCACCTGGGGACCTCTTCCAGATCCAGGATAGATTTCCTCCCCCAGCTTGTGATTTTCACCTTTATTTATTTAATTTATTACTATTATTTATTTAGAGCTGCTGCTTCTCACTCCGGGGGATCCCGGGGGAGAAAAGACACTTTTCTGCTCCCCACCAGGAGCATACCCTCCCCTTGACCCTAACCCTGATGGGACCATGGGCAGATGCTACTGCCGGCTCAGCAGGACTGACGGCTGCTGAGGCTGATGGAAGGCAGGGCTACCAGTCCTCCTTGGAGGCTGGGGTCCCTGCAGCCCACCACCCAGGTCACCCTGCTGCCCCCCTGCCCTCTGGCACTGTGTTCACCCTGGCACTGTGGCTCCACAGGCCCAGAGTTAGGGGAAGAGCAAGGGACTCCCAACAGAGATCCATGGGACATGTCCTCCATTGGACCCCAGCTCCTGGCTTGGCCAGGCACAACTGGCCTCCGCCACGGTGATGGGCTGGGAAATACCTGCCCCAGACAGGTGCAGCCCCCCTTTCCGTGCGATAGGCTGGGCTGGCAGCTGGGCTGGAGACCCAGCCCTGGGGCAGGCAGCACCCAAATCCCAACTGCCCCCCCATGTAGCCCTAACCCTTCCGCAGCCCCTTCTCCAGCCAACTCCCAGCTCCTCGCCATCACCCCCCCGCCTGCGCTCAGGAGGAGGGGGTGAGAGTAGCCGTAAAGTTTGGGTGAGTCTATTTAAATGTTCTTATTTATATTATTTATAACTTATGCTTTTCACTATTTATTTGCCAAGACTGGCCGGGCCGGGCCAGCGCTGGCTTGCAGGAGGTGGCAGAGCTGCAGCAGAGCTGCCGTGCCCAGGACAAGCCGCGGTGGCACAGATGGGGACAGGACCCCGAGAGTGGACAGTGCGGCGGGGCCCGGGGAGGGCACGAGCTGGCCCAGCAGCCTGGGCTCCACGCCCTGCAAGCCTCCCCCAAAGGCAAAGCCCTTCTCCTTCGTCTTCCTTACTGCCGCAGGCTCCTGCTTTGCTCCGTGCCCCGTGCCAGCCCGGTGGGGACAAACCAGCCACTCTATGCAACCTCCTGGTGGAGCATCCCCTCACCGGCCCCGGAGCGAGCGCCGTGCACGGCATCCCGGAGCGGGGCCCAACCCACGCCTCCGCCTCCTACCTCGGGCCGCGAGCTGCCACAGCCCCATCGCCCTGTGCCAGTCCTCGACACCTTGGGGCTCAGCCCGGCACGTCACGGGGCCGCACTCGTGCACCCCCACACCGTCTTCCTGCACCGTCTTCCTCCCTGCACCGTCTTCCTCTCGCCGCCTCGGTGCCCGCGTTGGTCACGGGCTCAGTGGGGATGTCCCTGTCATGCTCCTCGCTGCCGTGGCACGGTGGTCGTGCATCCGCACCCCACGCAGGGGACGAGCATCACCCCGGCCACGCAGGCACCCACCGGGCTTTCCCCACCATGCCGGCGCCGTTCCACGGAGCACGGCGTCCCGTGGCCGGCAAGCTCGGAGCACTGCGCCGCTGCCCCTCTCTCCTGTAAATAGCAGATACTACAGCAATAATTTTCCGTGCATGATAGATTTTTTCTGCCAGGTTTTGTACTCGCCAGCCCCAGTACGACAAGTCTACTGAGATCCGGCCGCCCGCAGTATTACTTGTAACGCAATTCAGGGATATAAAAGGGATTTCTGCCACTAACCACGTGTCTCAGGGGATTTGTGCCGCCGGTGGCAGGTGGTGGCACGCGAGCTGCCAGCATGCCCATCCCCACGGTGCCCCGTGCCCACACCCAGTCCTGGGCTGGAGCATCGTGGAGAGAACTGCCCCAAAGTGAGGGGCGATGTCCTGGCAGCCTGCTGGGAGCAGGTGGCTGAGGCACCCGGAGCATCCCATGCTGCCTGTGTGGCCGTGCCAGCCCTGCAGCCAGTGGGCAGCAGCCAGACAGCCCCCTGCCATGACAAGGGGGGGTGTTATGATGCCATCCTGCTCGTGAGGGCGCCGGGGGCTGTGAGCACGGCAGAGCACTGACCTGGAAGTAAAGCGGTGTGTGAAATCCCGGCAGCAGGCGCAGAGCCCGGTGTGCAGCCTGGGGGGGGCCCGACGATGCTCACACACCCCTGGGGCTCCACCTCGCTGGATGGGGAGGATTCGGTGAGCAGATTTTATTTCAGCTGCTGCCGTGCTGGCATCCACTCCCATGGGATGTGGTCAGGGATGGTGGGAACAATCCAGCAGAGACCCTGCTCCCAGGGGCTCCCTCTCCTCTCTCCCCTCAGCCTTCCCCGCATGTGAGTGCCAAAGGGGGAGGGCAAATTTTTTTTGGTGTCCAGCTTGTCAGCAGTGCCCTCGCTGAGTCCTGCACTCCCAGTGACATCTGTGCAACCATTCACCTGCAAAGTCATCAGCAGATTCACCCTGCAAAATACTAATCCCGGAGCCTCACAAACCCATCTCTGACCATCACTAGCATGTTTCCGAGTCAGCTCCAGGGTTGGGGACCCTCCATGTCCCCTAGGAGCCAGGGTGAGGGCACCGGGAGCAGCCATCTGCCAGCATCACAACCCCACTGTGGATCCAGGGTGCCCCGGTTGCAGCAGCTGATGGGGTGGGGGACCCAGTTCTTCCTGGGAGCCTCTCTCCGTTTAGGACACTGGTCTGAAGAAATGACCTAGAAAGATTCAGGGCTGGAATGCCGAGGTGTCTGCCCCAGCTGTGGAGAATCCCAGCATTGCTGCTCAGCTCTGAGGCTGTGTCATGCCTCCTCTTCCTCGCCGAGGACCCCACAGGCATCAGCGTAGCTGGAAGGGGGCTCTGGGGTGGGGGTGTGTTCCTGGTACAGTCAGGTAGGTGGGGGGCACATCCCAGCTCCCAGAGGAGATGCTGCAGAATGATCCTTAGTGTGCCAGCATGGCCAGGTGGGAGAAGAGACCCCCGGGCAGCTTTCGGTGGGGGGAAGCAAGACAGGGACCCCCAGCACAGCTGGTAGGGAGCTCAGCTGCCACGTGCCGAGGAGTGTCCCATGGGGATGAGGAGGTGAGGGCAGCCCTGACTGCAGGCTCGCAGGAGCAGGCAGAGGGCCAGCTGGCTCTGGCACCCGTCCCGGCAGCCCGTCCTGCTCCTTCACTGTGACTCTGCAAAACAGCGGGGCGGGGGCGGTGACGATGACGATGGCTGGGCCAGGAGGAAGTAGAGCGGCCCGGCTGGGCGCTGCACTGCTCGGGGCAGAGCAGAGGGCTCGGCTGGGCAGGAAGGAGGAAGGCCAAGGGCGGCTGACAGCAGCAGCCATGGCCGAGCCCGATGATCGGAGCATTCACACACAGCACATCTCGACCGTACACAACGTGCCCATGAGCGTCCTCATCCGGCCCATCCCGCCGGAGCTGGATCCAGGGAAAGTGCAGAGCCTGGTGGAGACCCTGCAGGTGAGTGCAGCCCCCCCGGGGTGCCCGGGCAGCCCTTCCCACACCTACCCGTGCCACCCGGGGGGCACTGCAGGGGAAGCTCGCAGCACCCAAGCCCCAGCACAGGCAGGTCGGGGGGTGTCGAGGTGGGTTGGGGGTGCTGGAGTGTGTTACTCTTGGATGTCTCTCTCCCTTCCCAGGAAGATCCCGAGCGAGTGCCCCCCATCGACGTGCTCTGGGTCAAAGGCAGCGAGGGCGGTGACTACTTCTACTCCTTCGGGGGCTGCCACCGCTTCGCAGCCCACCAGGCACTCCAGCGGGAGACCATCCCTGCCAAGATCATCCCCTCTACCCTCAGCGACCTCCGAACCTACCTGGGCTCCTCCACGCCCCACCTGCGCTAGCCCAGCATCCCGAGGATGCACCCGCAGCCCCCGCTGTTGCCGTTGGTTCCTACCCGGGAGCCCCTGGTGAAGATGGGGTCGGGGTCTCCCAGCCCTGAGGGGGTTCCCGGGGTCCCTCCAACAGGGATGGGGTCAGTGTCCTCCCACCTTGGGGCGCGGGTCCTCGGGGTTCCTTCAGCCAGGATAGAGTCAGGGTGCTCCAACCCTGAGGGGAGTCCCTGGAGTCTCTCCAGCCGGGATGGGGTCAGGGTCTCGCCGGTACCGGGAGGTGTCCGGGGCGG